CCCCAAAACCCCAAAACCCCAAAACCCCAAAACCCCAAACAAATTTTGCTTATTGAATAAATTCTTATACGCTAAAATCCTGGCCTAAATCTAACTTAAACTTCATAATTACTATTATCTAAATGCTTTGTGAAGGTTTTAGCTTAATTTAGTGCCTTAAGGCTCTTTTTAGGGGAGGATGGAGGTGTAGCCCGCTTATGTAGCACTTCCAAATTTTGTCAAACCAATTATAAAGAATTTTTAAATATTCCCATATTAAGCCTTGTCTGGAGATCAGCCCTCAGATAATATATCCTCGCCTTTAGCCGAATCAGGGTCAAGAATCTGGCCAAAACTATAAAGATTAGTATGGAGTTTAGAGAAAACAGCTTACGTGTTATCACTAGTATTTCAATTAGATTTCCGCTCCCTGAATCTACTTAGGAAAACCCCAACTGTTTTACGGCGATTTAGACTCATGGCACTCCGACTTTTGTTCAGAACTCGTTCATATGACCCCAATTGGGTATTTTCTAGCAACTCTAACTGCTGGGGATTTCACTTCTTAGGTTCTAAAAGGAATTAGAGGCTTGAATTTTCTAGAAATAATTTTCAAGTTCAAAATAGGTGAAATTTTTGACCTTAAGATAAAATTGTATCATAACACTTCAAATTAGCAGAAGTTATAAGGGTTGTTTTGGAAATATACAACTTTTAGATCTTGGAAAGAAATTAGGTACAACTTAAGTTATAAGGCATTGAAATTTTAGAACAAACGAACAGTCCATATAAATGATTAACCTAATTATTTAGAAAGCTTATTGCACTAGGAAATAGGAAATTTAATTATAAGCTTACTCTCTTTTGGATCCATTTCCAATAATTCAAGGCAAGGAGGAAGGATAAGCATATCATTCCTTATGCCATTTTTAACAGTAGAGCCTGAGTATCTCTTTGATCTCCTGCTCGGTCGATTACCAACATTAAGAATAATGTGCTCCTTGAGATGATCAGGGAGATACTTCCTTCTTTTGCTTCCCACAGAGTTCTTTGAGTATTGGTTGCCTGAACATCATAAGACCTATTTGAAGGAGTAAATCTTTTTATTGATTCTAAACAATGAGATTTACCTTTTTTAGTATTCTAGCAAAGCTCATCTTCTTTGTTGTTTTGAAATTTTCATCAGTGTCATCTCAGCTATTGGTACTTTTGGAAATTTTCTTGACTATTATAATTTAGGTTCGGCTTAATTAATACTGATAGAGATATAAAAATTGAATATTATCAAAGTAGAAGGCTTCAAAAGAGCATAATTCTACAAAATTTTACCATTAAGTACATCAAGATCCTCCTTCTCCTTCTCTTTTGAAAATTCCACACTTGTGAAAGAATCGTAATTTGACATTTCTATTAATATAACCTTTATTCTCAATATTCTTAAAATCTAGTGGGGTTTTGGGGTTTTGGGGTTTTGGGGTTTTGGGGTTTTGGGG